GGAGATAGATAAGGTGGTGAGGCACTCCCATTTCTTTAAGGACTTGCCATACTTTACCTTTACCTAAATCAAAGTTACTGTAGGCCTATTTGAATCAATGAAACGTATGGAGGAAATGACTTACCAACTCCCCATCTATTTGAATCAATGAAACTTATGGAGGAAATGACTTACCAACTCCCCACAGAATGGGCCTATTCTAGTGCAATTTATTACACTAAGCAACAGGATTTGGGACATTAGCCCAAGATAGAAGTCCAGTGCTGAACATGGGTTGAAGCCTACCCCTTCCCCAGTATCTACAGTAAGGTGGTGAGTGCCTATCCTATCTCCCCCCCCCCCAAATAAGCTCTACTTACGAGTTTTCAACATTTCTTTTATTGCATTCATTGTCTAACAACAATAGTCATTGGCAATTAATGTATGTACACTAACAAATTAATCACAATTTTTTAAAAAATCTGTAAGAATACAAAGGGCCACTGGGCTGTTTGTTGTAATTTATTTTAATGCCTAAGTGTAAAGATATACTTTTTTTTCCTGGGAAGATAATCATCTAAAGAAGGACAAATTAAGAAACCACAAGCATACAAACTCAGACACAGCATTGCAGCATCTTCCATGCAGATGATCTGACACCTAGATGTACAAAATTAAAATACAAAAAGTACATGCAATTCATACATTTAAAACTCCCAAACCCAATTCCCCATCCCTTCCCCTTTGACTGATAAACCAACATTTTGTTTTAAAGTACATACGTTGCAGTGCACTTTGAGAGGGTTGTGTTTCATCTATCTCGTCTTAACACTAGTTAGTTCCCAGAGATTTGTATTGCAATATGAATATAAAAAGTTGAACGAAAGCAGAACTAAACTTGTGAAACTGGGAAGAAAATATTTCTGTATGGGAAAGTTTCACTGTCACTATCATTTAATTTTCATTTAAATTCAACTTACTCTTATTTAAATCCTGTTGCATTCACTGCTTTCTGGGGTCCACTTTAGCAGTCTTGAGTTATCCCACTCATGAACAATTTAACTAGCAAGAAAGGCCCTACAGAAGGTGGCATAGGAACTAGGGCTAATCATATAGGCTTGCAGTACTATGCATCTCCATTCAAAGTAAACCATTGAGAGTCTAGTCCTATCTTGCCCTTCTGGAATTTAAAACTTGGTCCCGATCGCCAAAAACCTCATCCACAAAGCTATCATTAAAGACTCATCTCACTGGAGGTCATCCAAGAGTTTCTTCCACCACGTCCCTTTCTTCTCATATTACCTTTGCAATATGGCATAGCTTCTTTCTGCATTGTGAAGGTAATGTGAGGAGGTCAAGCCCCGTGACTAAAGAACATACTGTGATCTCTCCATGGTGGCATTGCTCTGTTTTCTGGGAAGGGACTCTGGTATTGCTTGGAGCCTGAACATTGGAGTTGTTCCCATGCCATGGATCTTCTGATGCTATCTTCACAGCATGGTGAAGACAAAGAAATGGGTGTTCTGTAACAATACTGCCGAGTAGATTCCCAGTCCCCTTCCCAAGAAGTCCCACTATTTCAAAGGAAAACAAAACAAAACTCAGCACTTAAGTCTACATAAAGTCCTTGCAGCTTATGATCTATGTCTACAAGGTTTACGTTCTTCACCAGTTAAAAGAATGTCTCTGGACAGCTCACTTTTATAATGGCGGCATCTCATGTTGGCATCCTTACAATGTCAGAAAATGCAACATGCCAAAGGAAAAAGCAAAAGAATTGTGCCATCCGCAGATGATCTACAATTCTATATATTGACTGGCTATGTCTTTTTTGAAGTCACAGTCCAGGGCATGAAAAAGTTGTTCCAAACTCTCCAACAGAATTTAAGCCTACAGCCTATAAAATGTCCTGGAGGTGGTTTATTCTAAATAGCAAATCTTTACTCCATTGATTCAGAGTGAAACCCTAAATGTTAATATGCATAAAGATTTATGTTTTTTTTCTATCACTAATATGACAAGTTGCTTTCCCCTCTTGTGTGGAAGAGTAAACCCAGTTTTTGCTGGAATAGCACCCCCTAGTGGACTGCCTCTATGTTTTAAGGCTGCACATACTGTGTGGGCTATTCTAAAATTAGACACATTGTATACAAATTAAATTGATGCATAAAAGTTATTTTTAAGGATTTCCTTTGAAAAATCTTCCAAAATTTTGAATATCCTATTTTTCTTAAGCCGATTCAATGAAAAAAGGAAATATCCAAATAACATTCATGCTCTCACAGAGCTCTTATTAGTAGAAATTTTCTGAACTTACTAAAATATCAATATTACAGCCTTTAGAAAAGTCATCTCACTAATCTGGACAAAGATCCCCACCCCATACACACATAAAAGGTTAAAAAGACAGTAGGGCTTTCTTTGAGAAGGACAGTATAAATACCGTTTGCTAGGTTACAAATGCTGAGACACATGGAACTATTCCAAATCAGAGACATGTCTGGTAACACTCTGTAAACTGTTCTTAAGTATGTTTTTCTGACTTGGTAGTCCTTAAATATATGTTAACTAGTCTAAAAACCTTTTTATGCATAAGAAAGACTTCAAGGAGTGGGCTGAGATCTTAAAGTGCAATGCAGAAAAGGAATACTTAGTGTTAATTAAAAGGAAAGCAAGACTGTTTATCGGTGAACAGAGGGACACAGACAGTCTTTAGCTGGAAACAAAACAATAATTCTCTGTCCCTACCACTGACCCTTTATTACACTTGTGAAAGTCCTTTTAAATGCTTGTACCCTGTGTCTAAAGATTTCTCCCTTTAATGTTTCAGTTAACCAACTGTGCAAACCTTCAACAGTGGTGCCTATACATTTTTAATGGCACTTATTATTTTAACGTTTACAAATTAACACTGATTCAACAATAAAGCAAGAGTTCTGTCCTTGGTTTTATTTTTACACTTCTTTTAAACCCACAATGAAAAGATCAACAAACTGCTCAACAATCCTTTTCTCAACCATCTTGGCCTTAGACACGTGTGCAGGATCAGTGATGCTTGCATTCCAGAAAGATTATGTGCAGTCATCTGTGATCCTGAAGTGTACAATAATCACTCCACAAACAATGGCTTTCTATCAGCAGCTCGGCTGGCCCTTAGCTTTGGAGTGCCCCCAGCTTCATCCCCCAACCTATTCTCTGTTGGAATCTCCTCTGGCTACCTCCTGGAGTTTTAACATGAGTGGCATGGGCCAGTTGATCGTGACGTGTGCTTTCTCTTTGATGAGAGCTTAGCTTCATCACCAGTATATGGTGCTCTACTCCTCTTTTACCCTATCAAGGGAATGATGGTAGCACTTGTGGCAGAACCTTTTGTGTCTCCCTGACCTTGCTAAATTCTGATCTTTGCCATTTTTCAGCTATGCTTTCACCATGTTTTGTTCTTGCAAATCAGAGCCTTCTGAGTGTTTGGCTTGCATCCTCTAAAAGAGGGCTCCCTCAACGATTATAAAGGCAAGTGCAGAGCTGATGAATCATCATCCTATAGATCGAAGCCTGGATATGGGGATGAATGAAAACTGAACCCCTACTATAGGGCCAGCACTCCTAATCATCTTTCAAGTCAATGGTTACAAGCATAAACTCTACAGATCAGTCCCATTTATGCATACTGCAGAATGCCTTTACCTGCTGTGGAAAGTTTCAAGATTGGCAATATATGAGCTAACAAAAGGGAAGGGAAAATGCTTTTTACCCTCTTTTTCTGCCACTGTATGAATCACCTCTTCATATAATTTAAATACAAAATATGAGTCACATTTGTGCACATCCCATGCTAGCTATAGGAACAAATGGAGCCAAATATCTATGTTTGTCAATGTCTGACTCAACCTGCACTACATGAACCTTCAGTGGCTTTGTGGCAAGCGCATATTCTGCCACTATTAACAATGCAGGTGGGAGAGAAGCTGTAGTTGCAGATAATTAAAGGTGAAAAATCATACTTCAAGCCAAAACTGTGAGCAATTAACTATTTCTCCTATAATATTGGGAATATACTTCCAATCTCTTTTGAAGAGAAGATTCACAAAAAAGTAATTTTGTAAGAAATATGTCTTTTGCAAATATGATAAAATATTTCAGAAAAAAAATAAGAAAAAGAAATATGAGCAGCAGCAATATGTAAAAAAATATTCTGTTCCCACAAGGAAGAGTAGACTTAGAGCTTGGAAAAGTTACTTTCTGGACTGCTGGGGGATGATTCTGAGAATTGTATTTTGTTTTTTTAAAAAAAGAGCTTTCCAAGCTCTAAGCAAAACTCAGCAATTTCCTGATATATTTTGTCTCTTTCCTTCTTCAATACAAGAAGTTTCTTCTCTTTAAAATCTGGACTGCTTTTACAATGAGCAACATTAAAAACAACAAAAAGAGGTCCAGTGAATGCTCAGCTCTAAAATTACCACAAACCAATAAACAAAGTAAGAACATTAATCATATGACAAAATCATTTCAGTTCTCTGCACCATTAAAACCTGGTTTACATGTTTTAAATAACAGGAATGCAAAGTCAATGTACAACATAATATAGTCCTTCTGGGACCTTAGAAAAACAAAGAGAAGAGCATAAATAAATGTAAAGTAGAGGAATGTGCCCATAGACATTAGTAATATACGTATACACCCACTTTAAATTACCAGCATGTAAACATAACTTAAAAGAGAATACAAGCATCAAATGCATTTACCAACTTCATGGTTAACATAGTACATCACCAGTTTCTCCCAAATATTCTCTCTTATCTAAGCATAACCTTCCAGCCTTCTAAAATAAACCAAGAACACTAGTTTAACCAGGTCTCTTATTAGATTTTCTCTTGCATTTGCTTCCTGAAGTGGATCGCTGCTACAACTTTGATTCTTCTAATTGTTTGGCAGCAAAACCAAGTGCTATGACCTACCAGAACTATAGCTATCTAACGAAGTGTCGGCATAGCTTTGTTATCCTAGCTGCAGATTTAAATTTGAATGTTATATCAGCAACATGAAACTAATGCAGCGGCATGGCAGGAGGAGTAATGTACTGCTATTTTGAAGGAAGCCAATCACAAACAACAATGTGTGTAAACACATACTCCCCCCCCCAAAAAAAAACTATTGTGGAGGTGGTGGGGGTTGGACACCTGACTTCTCACAGTTCAGAAAACAGCTTACAGCATGTATGTTAAATCCAGATAGTCTTTAAAGCAAATACAGATGCAAAGGCCATATGTGGAGTTCTCAAGATTCCATTTGAAAGCATTAATCATTTGAAACAGAGTCTCTGTCTCACCACAGCTTTAGTGCCTCATCCTGTGAAACTGCAGCATCAGTAGTTGACTAATCAACAAATTTAACCACAGAATGGTGGAATCATATCCCATTTTTATTCCTTCACTGGGTGAAACAAGAGTCATGAGTTGATGAAATACTGAAGGGCGCAACCCAGCAAAGTTAAAAATGTGTGAAGTCCTGTTGATTTCAAAGAAAGGAGTCAAACAGGTGACAAAATATTTCCAGATAAAATTTATGTGATATCTAAAATAATGTCGACAGACTGGATAATATTCCTTGCACCATGTATTTTTTAAAATTGAGATTTAGTAGAACCTACTTAGCTACTCTGCTTAAAAAAATCTGGGGTTGCATTTTTATGCTTTAGTTTTCTTACTACATCATTTACTACCAGGACACTACATTATAACTTTTAAAAAGTCACACTGTCTTACTCAGTATTTCCTTCTTTATCTTTTTAAAGATGCATATTCTAGAGAAGGGGAAAATCTCTTTACTAGACTTCTATTTGGAAGTCAACAGCAGCAGTTGAAACACCAACTCTTTAATAACATTATTTAATTGGCCTCATCCACTACTTCCCCACCCCACCCATCTGGCCAGAGTTCTATATAATGCTGGTGGAGCAGATAAAACTCCACTTTCATGGAGGCCTCAGGACACTGCTGGGCTACTTCATCATCAAGAAAGTTGGCTGAGAGCCTCCATCTCTTCCATCTTGTTAATGAGCTGCCATCTTGGCCTTTGGGAGAGGGCAGAGCTGCAGCTGAGACAGTGGAAAATGCCACCTTATGTGAAATCTGAAAGGAAAGCGTGCTGGCCTATGCCAAGTGCTCCAAACAAATATAGGGGGTGGTACATATTTCTTACAAAAGAAACCCAAAATAGTTTTCTGTGAACTTACTGTTTGGGGGAAAAAGAGGTTTATGACCTGATTCCAGAAGGTTAACTCCCTCAAAATAATAATAATAATAATAATAAAATAATAAAACACACACACACACACCCCACATAAACCTGTACTGTTGAAGTCGAATACAAGCTAACTGCCTCATAACTCCAGTTTTACTCAGATACCCAGAGGGTAAATGTTACTCTCCAGTCCCACATAAGGAAGTTAAGGCTTTGCTTCCTTTTTGAGCCAAATTGCTATGTAATTCACAAGAGGGTCACGGTGAGAGGAAGAGGAGCATGCCTTCCTGCTTAATGAACAGAAAGGACATTTCACTGATGTTTCTGACTCTTCTTCACAGTTATTATTTCAAGTCCTTCCTGAAACCATCCTGCAAAGGGACAGGGAATGAACACCTCTGACATGAGCCAAAGCCAGCTTTCAGAAGAAAAGACTTAAAAATTGCCGAAGCAAGTAGTTATTTCCTTAAAACTCAGTGGTAAGCGATATGCAGTGAATTCCAGTTTACTTGCTTTCATGGTCTATTGAAGCTTCTTGGGTACCACCCATTTCCAAGGATGCTAATACATTTGTATTGTAGCATCACCAACTATGCAATACTGTGTCCTACTGATCATGAAAAGGAGCAGACAAAACTAGCACAATACAGATGAGGACAACTTGTGGGGAGTGGGGAACAAAAAGCTCTCAGTGCTGGACCCAAGTTGAACAGCTGGTTTGCTAGTCCAAAAAAAAAAAGTCATAGTTTTGGGCTGCTGACTATGTCAAAAGTACCAGCATGTTCTACAACAAAGTTTATTTATACAGTATTCAATTCCCCATTTATTCTAATTATAGACCCAAACATGGGGTACAGAGCTCTGTGTAATGAAGATAGGAAGGAAATACATTGTTTTCTTCTGTAATGAAGGAAACTCTAAGGAACCTTTGAGTTTCTCTCTAGAAACTGTCTTCATGTTCCAAAAAAAAGAGTTAATTCTCAGGATGTCACTGCTCATTAGTGCCTTCTGTTGTATCTGCTGATCTCTTTTCCGGCTTTCGGGATTTCCTCTGCAGTTGCTCTTTTTCCTTCTTCCGAAGTTTTTCCCTTTGCTTCTCCATCTTCTCTTGAGCTCTGCGTGTTTTCTCTATCAACACTTTTGCTTCTTTAATTTTCTTCTTAACAACAGCTCTGTCCTGTGAAGAAGTCATACCAAGGGCCTAATATTGAAGAAAGAAATAGCAGTGATTTAATTGAATATGAAGTTGAATCATCCTCTGCTATGTAACTCAGATGTTCTACAGAATATAAGAACATAAGAAGAGCCCTGCTGGATCGTGAACAGGCAGCACCTTCTATAGTTAACATAGATGTAACTCAGATGTTCTACAGAATATAAGCCCTGCTGGATCGTGAAGAGGCAGCACCTTCTATAGCTAACATCCTTGCCAGTCTCACCAAAGCAACCCAGACATCTATGCCTAAGAATGGAAAGGAATTTTGATGGATTGGATAGCATCTGAAAAGACAAAGACTACGTGCAATAAGAAAGATATCTAATCTCAAGAATCTGCATGTTTGTGAGGCTTGCAGAACTTTTGAGAGAAATAACATGCACACAAACGATGTGCACACTTTAAAATGCGAATGGCTCAAATGTGCACAAGAGGTGGAAATGCAAATACACATTATACTCTTTACTGTGGAAAAAAAGCTTAAGTTAGGAAAAAAATATTTAAACATTCACACAAATTTCCATGCGAATCCATTCTGCCCTGGAAATCTCAAAAACTAATACAGAAAAAGAACCAAAACAAAGACGTAGGTGGAATTTAAGAAATAGAGACTGAGATTTTTTCCCCCATCCCTAACAATGTCTGTTCACAAATGACTGATTGGCTACAAAGCTTAATACTTTAGCTCTGTGCAATGGTATTCATACTAGCAGTCCTTACTCTGATTTCAGCCTTCTGCTTCTTGAACTACGTATATTAGAGATGGGGGTATTCATATATGCATACCCCCCACACAGCTGGTTGTAATGAGGCTCCAGACCGTCCACTCACGCATCTGCTGCCACTGCTGGCTCCGCTCTCCCTTCCAATCACTCTGGAGCTCGCGGTCGGCTATCCACTCGTCAACCTGGCAGGGAGACTCATCTTCCCTCCTTCTGCCAGGAATGGATCGTCGACTGCGAGCCCCAAAGTGACTGGAAGGGAGAATACAGCCGGCAGTGGCAGCAGATGCTTGAGTGGATGGTACGGACCCTCATTACGACCAGCTGTGTGGGAGTATTCATACACAAATACTGTATCAATATCCTATCTCTAAACTATATATATCAGCCTCTGTGAATAATCTCCCCAGTTTTTACTTCTCAGCAAAATTTGATCAAATTAGTCCTGAACATCTGAGTTGTTCTCACCTGATGAGCACAGAACACTATTAGAAGTGATTTCTAACCAGAACTGTCCCTCCCATTAGGCAGAGTGAAGAGGCTGTGGCAAGTAGGAGATTTCTCAAAAGGACAGCAAATTGTTAGTCATTTTAGTAGTCATTTTACTGCTAAAGGAAGCGAAAGGTACGCGTTTAATTTTCTGCCCCCTGTGGCTTCCTTTGTAGGTGGCACTTCCTTTTTAGTGAAGGGGACCACCATTTGCTGCCCCCCCGGGGTAGGAAAAAGTTCCCAGTATGTTCTTGTTTTTAATCCTGGCTTTCCTATGAGGACTGTATCATGCTGTAGGGTGACCAGCATACCAAGTCAATTTATTTATATACTGTATCTACATTTAAAATATTTTTACCCTGCTATTCTCCTTAAAAAGACCCAAGTCAAGGTGCCCAATGCCTGCAAATTAGATATTAACAGTAGGCATTCTTCAGACAGCAAGTCAGAGCTTAGAAAAGTTACTTTTTTTAATAACAGGTCCTAGGAATCTAGAGTCATCACCACTGGCCAATAATGGCTGTGAGGATTCGAGCACTGCAGTCAAGCTCTGTTGTTAGTCCAGTAATAGCAGCGGGATGAATCTGAAGAGGACAGCAGCCATCAGATCTGCCCAGCATTAATGGCTACAAAACATGTGCAATAAAAGGCCATCTTTTATGAACTATTTTGTTACTCATTTCCTAGGTTGGTGCTAATTGCAGAGGATAAGCCATTTTCTGGAAGTGCCCATAGATATTTCTCTATGGAGTAATTGCTTTGGGTCCAGAAATCAAAGAGCTAGTCCTTAAGGTAAAGGTTACAAACTGGGTAGATGAAAGAGTGGAAAAATAAATTTATGTCCATGTATGGTTTTATGTACATCAATACAAATGGATAACAGGTCCTAGGAATCTAGAGTCATCACCACTGGCCAATAATGGCTGTGAGGATTTGAGCACTGCAGTCAAGCTCTGTTGTTAGTCCAGTAATAGCAGCGGGATGAATCTGAAGAGGACAGCAGCCATCAGATCTGCCCAGCATTAATGGCTACAAAACATGTGCAATAAAAGGCCATCTTTTATGAACTATTTTGTTACTCATTTCCTAGGTTGGTGCTAATTGCAGAGGATAAGCCATTTTCTGGAAGTGCCCATAGATATTTCTCTATGGAGTAATTGCTTTGGGTCCAGAAATCAAAGAGTTAGTCCTTAAGGTAAAGGTTACAAACTGGGTAGATGAAAGAGTGGAAAAATAAATTTATGTCCATGTATGTTTTTAAGTACATCAATACAAATGGATACATGCATATCTTCCCATATGGAATAAAGAACCCATCTCCTCTATATGCTTTTCAAAAATACATCTGTAGTAAAATATATATATATACATTATAATTGTATTTTCTCTGTTCAGAAACATCCATAGCAATTTAATTGGAAATTTTACTGTACTAGCTTAAGGCAATAGTTCTCAAACTTGGATCCCCAGGTGTTCTTGGACTAAAACTCCCATAAGGCTTCACCACTAGCTCTGATGGCCAGGACTTCTGGGAGTTGCAGTCAAAAAACATCTGGCAACCCAAGGTTGGGAAGCACTGTGATGGGATAATTTCAGGAACACAATCATTTAACAGCCCAAAAGACTTACAACAACTATCAATAATTTAATTCTTTATTTAATTCTTTGTTTGTTCAGAAATGCAACACCTGGCTATGTAGTCCATCTCCTTAATTTCCTGCCTTGTCCCTTTCCATATTTAAAAAAACCCACTCAAATTAAGACCTGTATATTGAAAATGTCTTCTAATATATAGCATGGTGTACCCAGGGCTTGAATTTCAGAAATAATAATATATTCAGTTTTCACCTGTTACTTTTTACCTGTGCAATCAAAATGTCCATCAATTTGTACCTCCTCTATCACGCATTATGGTTACCACGGGCTTACTTTACAGTATAAAGACTTATTTTTATATCTATTCAGGACAAATATTTACCATAACAGACCCCCCTGGCAACAAACAAAATTCTGAATTGTACTTTCAATCCTTATAAGCAATTACCTTAAGTTTGCTGCCATCCAGCTGTAGGAGATGTTCTCCATTTATGTTTTGGGCATTGAATTCAGGAACATATTGTTCTAAATTCAGGCTTATTAACCAGTTGGAAACTTGCTGCACACTCCACTCCTGAACGGCGCTATGTGAGGACTGAATATGCTTCGGAGACTGCCCTTCATCAAGGATCTGTAACAAAATAATTTATATATGCAACTAGCATGGCAATAGTGTTGTGATGTGACAGTAGCACTATAACAGCTTATCTTGCAATATTATTTCAACTCTCTCTCACTCTCTTTGTTTTCTGTAAGATCAAATTATTGGCTTGCTGGATCAGTTCCAGCTCATCTAATTTGACAAGGCCATCAAGTGCGACAGACAGAACACATAATCGAACAGGTCTATAGAAATACACGTCAAGGTAGATAACTCATTTGTAGGAGGACTTAACCAAACCACTTTATACTGCCTGGAGAACAGTAAAATTTTGTAAATTTCTTTCTGATGTTGAGAATACTAAAGGGTGTTTTGATCATCTTTCACTTTACAGTACTTCCTTACTAAGTTAATTGTACTGATTTAAATCAGGCAAATCTGTCATGGAGAAAATCTCACTAGAACATGCCTCCTTATGGTGAGAGATGGTATTGCTTGTCAGGGAGCGTGTTCTGATATGCTTGTATCTGGACATCATGATGTGCTTGTACCTTTACAGCTATCGCCACAAGAGGGTGCCTTTCAGTGTTCAAAAGTGCCGATTTTAACATTTCACAAGGCAGCAAGAGGCATGGGAGTTCCTCTTTTGCACCGCATCAAAGTTCAGAAAAGTTACTTTTTTTGGACTACCAACTAGCATAGCCATTATCCATGCTAGCTAAGGGATTCTGGCCATTATAGTTATTATTACTATTTTAAAAAAAACTTTTCTAAACTCTGCATTGCATCTTTGTTGTTGTAGCTTCTGTTTAAAGGAGAAAGTGACCAGGAAGTGACCGGAAATCATGTCTTTTATCTAGGAAGTATGAACGTAGCAATATGCTTGCTGAAAGTTAAGAGCCCTGTGGGATCTAACCAAATGTCTGCCTAGTCACCATCCTATTTCCCACGTTGCCATCCAGGTGCTTCTGGAAATCCTCCAAGCAGGACATGGAATGCAACAGCACCCTCCCATGCTGCTGCTCCTTGGCGGCCAGCATTAGTGGTACTTTCTATCTGAACCTGGAAGTGGCATATACCCATTATCGCTAGCAGCCTCCTTCTCCATGAATTTGTACAATCCCCCATTAAAGCCCTATAAGCTAAAGTTGATCTGCTCATGTCGAAGTAGGAAATCCCATAAATTAATGATGAGTTCTGTGATGAAATTAGTATCGTATTTTTTGCACCATAAGACACACTTTTTCCCCACAAAACAGGGGGGTGGAAAGTCTGTGCGTCTTATGGAGCGAAAAATACGGAACTTTCCTTTTATGAGGTTTGTCTCTTCTGCAAATCTATATATTTACATGTGAGCCTAGGTGAAAGGTCCCCATCTCAAAAGGAAGAACTTACAAAGAAGAGAAATTAATAGCATGGGTAGGCATGTGGAGATGGAGATAAGAGATAATATAAGCAAGAAGCTCATCCCCAGAGATATCCTTAGTCCTTGTCTAGATAGGGGCAAAGTTGGGCAATTAGCCTACATGGTTGAAGGCCAATCTGGACACAGCTGCAATCTGAGACTCCCAAGAGAGAGCTGAGTCCAGAAGAATGCCCAAATTATGCACTTGGTCCCTAAATTGGAAGGAAGTACCATCCAGCCTAGGGACCATCCCCCAAACCTATTGGAGGTCCCTCCCCCAGGAGCAATATCTCTGTTTTGTCTGGGTTCAGTTTGAGCCTGTTAGTCCTGGTCCATTCCAGTACTGAAATCAAGCAAAGCTCCAGCGTCTGGACAGCATCTACTGCAGAAGTGGTAATGGAGAGATATTGTGTGACATCAGCATACTGATGACACCTTACTCCAAGACTCCTGATGACCTTCTCCAACATCGATATTAAACAGCATTGGGGATAGTGCCGATCCCTGAGGAACTCCACACCGAAGCGTCCAAGGTGCGGACACCTCTCCCTGAGCTGAACTCTCTGGACACGGTCCTCGAGAAAGGATGGAGAAGGATTGGAGCCAGCTCAATGCTAAGCCCCCAATCCCAACCTCAGAGAGCTTGACCAGGAGAATACAGTGGCCGAGAGTATCAAAAACTGCCGAGAGATCTAGGAGTACCAACCGGGTGCATCTGCCCCTGTCAGCTTCCCTTAAAAGGTCATCCTGCAGCACGACCAATGTTGTATCCGTACCCTGTCATGGCCTGGATCCAGACTAGAATAGGTCAAAGCAATCCTGCTCCTCCAGGTATAAATGCAGCTGATTGGCCACCATTTTTAAAAGGTCATCCTGCAGCACGACCAGTGTTGTATCTGTACCCTGTCATGGCCTGAATCCAGACTAGAATGGGTCAAGGCAATCCTGCTCCTCCAGATATGACTGCAGCTGATTGGCCACCATTTAGTTTTTTGGACTACAACTCCCAAAATCTCAAACCCAAGATGGTCATCACTGCTCATCTCAGGAATTTGTGGCCCATAAAAAAACTGTAAATGGAAAAAAGAAATAACTATATCTGTGTTGTACAAACTCCTGCAAAATAATTTACCTGGAACATGCTGTATTTTCCTTTTCACATCAGGTCTGTTTTAAACAAAAAGCTCCCAAGGTATTCAGGGCCCCTTTTAGGATTAAAAAAAAAACCCTGAAATTCTGCTTTGTCTAAAGTGTTAAGATCTGTGCCTTATTTTATCAATTTATCTGTGCTATGACCTGCTCTTACTGTAATTATATTTTTATTCTATTTATACTGTATTTTAAAATAAGCTTAACATTTAGAGAATGTTACTTATGCAGCTGAAAATACCATGAATAAAACAATACTGAATTAATAAATATTGTTGTCTCACCTCATCATCAATCATATCCAAGCTCTGAGAGAGTCAGCAATAAAGGAATGGGAAGAAAACATTACAGGTGGAAAAAGGGAAAATATGACAACAATGGAATAACAATCCTTTTGTTAAAAGTGGAACACTACCATTTACTTCTTCATTAAGAAACTGATAAGTAATTATGGAGTACCTAGTTTTGCTCATATCTGCTCTGGAATCAGTGGAATTTACTTAATTATGAATGACTAGCACATCTGGGAAGAAGACACCATTATGGTCTCAATAGACAAAGCACTTAAGTGATCATAATTATACTGTGAAACCAGAGAGACTAGAATTTACCCCACTGATTCCTAGGATAAGTGTCTGAAGTCCTTATCAGAAGTCACTAAATGTCTTGTGAATAAGCAATAACCTTTAAACTATTGTTTTTCAACTCAGTGACTTCCTGATATCAGTGGAATTTACTTAATTATGAATGACTAGCACATCTGGGAAGAAGACACCATTATGGTCTCAATAGACAAAGCACTTAAGTGATCATAATTATACTGTGAAACCAGAGAGACTAGAATTTACCCCACTGATTCCTAGGATAAGTTTCTGAAGTCCTTATCAGAAGTCACTAAATGTCTTGTGAATAAGCAATAACCTTTAAACTATTGTTTTAACCTTTAAACTGATGTGTTAGACTATAATTTTTATCATCCCTAACCAGTGTGGCTGTTGTTGTTGTTCAACATCCTTGAGCACACCAAGTTAATGAAGGCTGCCCTAAAACATCCATGGAACTGGGCAGCTATAATTAGTAAATGGGTGTTATTAAAACATATGCTTCCCCTCCCCCCAAATATGCTTTATTTCTAAGAACGTATAGAGATAGGCAAAGAATGTCTTAACTCTCCTTGAGCTAGTTCAACATGCTTCATTTACCCCAACAGCCCTTGAATGAACTGCTTATAAAGCAGCCGATACCACTGCACAAGAGAATCCATTAAATGGTAGAAAATTGGGCAAGAAGCAATCCTAAATGGACCTCCACACAACCGTGTGGTCCTTCCCCAGTACAAATGGTGCTTCACCTTTGCTTTCAGACAAGGGGCTCCAACATTTCCCCTCCGACTTAGTATGCTTTTGTTAAAATGTGGTTTCAACTCTCTGCAGTCAGTTGAATTTCCATCTTAAATATATGTAGAAGGCTATGCTTTTACAGGTGAATGTAATAATAAATCATCATCATCTTAGAACTAGCAATCCTAAAAGTCCATTTTTGGAAGCTATATCCGCTCAAGAGCTGTTTGGCCTATTATCTAGTCCACAAGAGCCACGGAAGTTGTTTTCTGCAGTACAAATAGTGTACAGGTAAGGTACCTCATCAGATGACAGTGCTATGGAGTGTGAAAATCCTGGGGTCTTGGTTTCGGTTCCTAATCCACTCAGATCAGCTGAGCTCGTACTACTTGGACTGAAGTCATCATTGAAAGTGAAGCTCTGTATAGGAGCAAAGAACAAAACAAAACACATCAGTCAAAAAAAGAAAAGAAAAAACACCACCAGGAATCAGGCCAGCAAGAAAGAAGAGAACTGTCTTTATACCACCAAGAAGGCTTTCTTAGGTATATTGACAATTCATTGCGGGAGGGGGGGAGGGAGGGAGGCAGGAAGAAGTCATGTGTTTCTCAGTCTCAGTGGCTTTTTAAAATGAAGCTCAGCTCTTTTCTTACATGCCAATAGTGAAAACAGAGCTTTAGATACTCAGCTGGTTTGGCTCTAATAGATACCACTAATGCTTAATTGGAATATGATTGTACACAGATACAGAAAAGAACCCCTGAAATTGGGAATAGGGTGGGTGGTTTAGGATTTTGTAATGATTTACTAGATTACTGGTGACAGTGGTCAGTCATCTTGCCAGGGGAATTGTTATTTTCCCCTCTCTTCTGAAATGTTTAGCGGGCCTTCATTTTATTAAGAATATTTGGCTCAAGTGTCATTATTTCCTTGTAGAAAAGCTGCTGAGAAGTGTCATCACTACAGCACACTCCTTGGCATCTAACGTATTTTTCAAGACATAACGTCTGTCCTTAATTACTGGAGAATTGTGCTTCCCCCCCCCCCATGGTCTCAGCAACCAAAGAAACTCTGTGCAGAGCCTTGACTGTCTTTGAATTTAGGCACTACAGGTGCAAATTCAATAAATTCAATACATTCTCAAAGATACATCCCTAGTTTTAAACCCTTCACCATACCATTTAAGAAGTTTTTACTTCCAGCCACTGATACTATCTCAAGTGGATTCTGAATAGTTATTTGCAGCAGCCAAACTACAGGCTCTGAGTTGAAAACAGAATCAGGCTATCATAGTATTGCTGGAAACAACAATCTTCAGAAATGACTGATTTATGCCACAAATGGGATTTTCCCTTGGGGGGGGGGAAACTGTTTAACTGTATCTTACAACTGACAAGTATACAGGGTTTTCTTCAAAGGGTAATTGACAGATTCCCAGAGTTCTTGCTGTCTTTTCTGACAGTTGTCTTGTATATTATTAGACAATTAATCTAAATTGCTTTCACCTTTGTTCTGCAAGTAAACTGGTCATATAAAAGACAGGGATTACTTTACATCCAAAGCAGGGACACATAACAAGACATCTTGCCCCTTATCAATGCAATGAACAAAGCATTACATTTTATTAAACAGTTAAACAACACAATACTTTGTGACATATACATTTGACAAAATTTATTCAAACTGCCATTAGAGAAATTCTGAAATGGCATATATTAGGTATGAAACACAGTGCAATTAGACTAACAGGAAAAGCCCCAAAATTTAGACACTTGTGACATTTTGAGGTTTGTTAAAAACAAATAAGCCATGTAGTACTCAAAAAACAGCAATGGGCATGTCAACAATATATGAAGATAAGCCTGTTTGAAAGGTGGAATTTAAATGATGAACTGAAAAAGGAAATCATTAATATATTAAATTTAAACATTTGGTTATCATATGTCCTACATACATGATAGATAATATTTTTGGTTAAAATGCAAAGGAAAATTCTGGAGTTAGTTTCTGTCAATAATTATTGCATTTTACAGCAAACTCTCGCCATTCCAGCTCTGGAAGTCTGTCCATTTTCCCCTTTATCCTGGAAACCTAAAAAAAGAGAGGATTTGCGGGGGTCTGTCTTGACACAGGTCAAATGATAACATTCCATGTTCAGAAGCTGGAACTTTTCTATGTGATAACCTACTTGATTATATGGAATTAAAAACAATGTACTGTCACCATGTCAATCTGTTGAAAAACTTGCCTGCATTTTCATTTGTAGTTTTTCTCAGCTGGTGAAGGGAGCAAACAGGAAAAGCAGACAGACAACATGCAATCAATATGATGTCTGAGTAGTTTCCTCTTTGATGTGGTAATTGCTTTTCTTCAAGGCCACACACATATGTTGTGGTGCCAGACCTGCTTTCAGCTCAGTACTGAGGTGGTGCAAATATGCCACTGAAACTGTTCCAACTTAATAAGGTGTAAGTTCTTAATTATCCAGGCCATCTGAGCTGAACAGAGCAAAACCTATGATGTATCAAGGTCTCCAAAATCCAATTTTATGAATGAAATCCAAATCTGCATAGAGATTCCCCCCCCTCAAATTAAGTTACCCATCAAACTTCTATTTTGCAAAATAAGATGGTGGTTCCTTTTTTTCCAGTTTGATTTTTATACTTGCCTGTTGAAATGTGTTTAAATGGTTGTTTATTCAAAGGAAGTTCTTTTGTGTTTATTTCTACTGGACATAAACTGTTAATGTAGACCTGTTTAAGGGCAGTTCTGCTTGGTCCATGTTTTTTTCACGCTGATTCCATTTGGCTGCTCAGAAAACATTCAGTTTATACACCCAAATGTCCAGCTTACGCATTAAAAAAATAACAGCCGAGTCAGATGTGGGGTGAAAAAAAGAGCACAATGCCCATCAAACAAAAGAAATATGCTATGGGTACAACTTACTGAGATTTGATCCTGTGTAAATGTTATTAATATGAATAGAAGATCTGTAACAAGGTTTCATTTTAATAGAGCTTGCATCAGAGACAGTTTCTGCCATATATCATTTGAGATGTGACTGCACAACATGAAATAATACTATTGTGGACTTTCATTTTTGCCCTCATGGAGGTCATGAGGTGCTCAATAAATGTTGCACAGAAATGAAAACAATTAGTACATGAAGCATCTAACACTGCTGTACAAAGTATTACTAGCAAGCGATCATGCTAAAAGCAACATGCACATACATAAAATAGCTTCAACATGTATTTTTAAACATTGCAATTCAATTTTTATTAGTTCAAAGAACTTCAAAATGAATTAGATGTTCTATCCAAGGTTCCATGATAGGAACATCTTGTCTGGTGAAAGGAGCAGGAGATGACAAGAAGTGGTACAACAGACATTTCAAATTTTGCTGGTATTTCAGTCAGATGTGTTACATTTGATCTGTAAATTCTGTAGTCAAAGCAACATATTTGTGTATGGATCAAAATGGTTACTTTGCTCTTCCACCATTTGATATAAGATCTGATGGCTTATATCAATGTCATTTGTAAAGATGAAGTTGGCAAAAATGAAGACAATTTTTTTGGAGAATTTGGTTTGGGGGGGTATGTGGGGCACAGGCATAGAGCAAAAGAGCCCCAGCAGTCAGCCCTTAGAACCTACTAAGCTCCCTTCAAAGTCATCAGTTTATACAGGTTACATTTAGACTTTACCTTTCTTCTGTGGTGCTCAGTGAAGCATAAAAAGGACTCAGTCTTTCTCACCGGATCTGTCATTTAGTACACTGGTTCTTAACCTTGGGTTACTCAGGAGTTTTGGACTGCAACTCCCAGAAGCCTTCACCACCAGCTGTCCTGACTGGGATTTCTGGGAGTTGCAGTTCAAAAGCATCCGAGTAACAAAGGTTAAGAACCACTGATTTAGTACACAGCTAGCAACAAGCAATTAGGACCTTCAAACAGATGAGTACTGTATATAGAACCTTATGCAGGTCAGTTGAGTGGACTGGCAAAAGTGGGACAGAAGAGTCTTTTTTTGTGCTTCCATAAAGCTATGCTGCCTATGGATGATGGAAATTACAGTCCAACATATCTGGAGAAGGGTACATTGGGATGACTACTGTAAGAACATTAAGAACATTGCCACATTGGGGCTCTATGTTAGACGGAAGAAGGCATGCATACTGTATATGCATGCATGAATTTCGTTGTATGGGTATACTGTGTATATACTTACAATGACATATTATTATTATTATTATTATTATTTCTTAGAACTATAGAGATGGAAGGGATCCTAAAGATCATTGGGTCCAGTCCATCAATGAGGCACAGTGGGGAATCAAACTCCCAACCTCTGGCTTTGCAGCCAAAGTCCTAAACCACTGAGCTATCCAATACAGTACTCACAAATACTGTAAATAAGAGCTATGTTGGATCAAATGAAAAACCTGACATTATTTTCACACCGTGGGTGATCAGCTGCCTACGGAAGACCACCAGCATCAGATGAGCATAAAAACACTCTCCATACAGAGGCATGCCTGTAACTACAGATATTAAATAGCCACTGTGATTAGTAGCCACCGATAGGCTTAACCTTAGTTTGGAAGTACCCTTAGATTCAGCTTTGACTCCCAGGTTTCTACAGTGGATTATTGTACGTACCATGCTCTATATGGGGCTGCTTACAACACTATTTAGAAACTTCGGCTGGTGCAAAATACAGAAACCAGAATGTTTGCTGGGGCTAGTTACAGGAATAATACAACTCCGATCGCAACACATGTACTCACTGTTTCCTGGCATAATTTATATTGTTGGTTAGTTCTATATGACGTGAGTCCAGGCTATCTATGTTGCCATATGAACCTCCTGGGCTTTGAGAGCTATAGAAAAGGCTTGGCTCTTCAACTCTATTTGGTAAACACACGAGAGGGATCCTTCTTGGCGGCTGCTCTTAAACTGGGAACTTCTTTTTGAGAGAGGAAAGGCTGATAGCCTCCCCCTTGTTCCTCCTCTGGCATGCAAAGACCGTTCTATTCAGGTTGGCCTTCAGCAAATGACTTCTTGCTAAGAACAGAGATTTTAATAGATGTGCTGTTGTTTCATTGGTAAATTATTCTGACTGAGAAATTTGAAAAACATTTTTAATTTAATTGTTTATTTTAAACACTATCGCTGAAATCCAGTAGTGAGTTGCAAATAGAATAGGCCTATTGAACAAGGGGAGATTTGGTTCAAAGCCACACTTCCATAAGTTCTATTGATTCAATGGGCCTGTTCTAGTTGTAACTTACTACTGGATTTCAGCCTACATCTGTTATAATTAATTTAATTTTAAAATTTATAATCAACTGTCTTTTAATTTGTGCTTTCAAAAAAAATACTGTAAGCTGCTTTGGGTCCTAGGCCTGGGATAAAAATAAAATAAAATAAATAAATAAATAACCAACCAACCAAACGCCTTGAATATAAATAAATAACCAACCAACCAACCAACCGCTTTAAACTGAATACTAACCCTCCTTTAAAATTCACCATGTTGGCAGCCATCATGTTATATTGAGCAAGGAATTCTATAGTGTAAGTATGCACTGAAGAAAGAAGGACCACCTTTCTTGCCAGCACACTTATATTGCATATTTTCCTTATTCTCTTTGCCACTCCCCTATCTTACTTTGAGTAGTCAGGCTTAGAAAATCCATGTGCTCATTTCAATCTAGTAAAACTGGACAGGTGCAATAGTTGTTTGCCAACAATGAAAAAAACAAACAAACAACTGGCCTTTTCTCACACAGAGACAAATCATGCAAGTTCATTGAAGTTCTGAAGAAAGACTGTACGATCTTGACAAGCATGTTGGTATCATGTCCACACTGAACTTGCTATTAGGATGCAAATTACTCCAATGATACACTCCAAACAAAGAAGACAAAGGCGACACCACTTAGAATGTTTGTATTAGATTTTTGCTCTATAGTTAATGTGTTGCTTGTGGCTACTAACATGCGGGTCCTTTGTTTAAGCCACAACATTAACTTGCTTACGCCACTCCATGCACCGGAGGACAAGGTACTTTACATTTTTCTACCTTGGACCCCTTTTTAGCTGGGCTTTGATTTTCAGAAGAGGGATCAGTTGAGCTGGTAGGTGAAGGCAGATTGCTGGAAGAGTTGGATCTCCTGCTGCTCTCTCCGTACCATGTAAATGGGAGAGAGGAAGACCGCTTGATTAAAGAGGGTCGATTTGCTGAGCACTCCAAGAGCTCCTTAGTTGTCCTGTTTAATGTAAGGCAGATAGGTTATTAGGCTTTAAAACTGTAACAAAAGCACAAGAAAAAAGGTGGAACAAAAGGTGCAATTAGGAATGGAGAAATCTGTCCATTTTAATTTTTGTTTTTCTTTTTTCCATCCATTCCATTCCTTTAATTACAGCTTAATATTTATAACAAGTTGTTTTTTAATATGTGTTTTTTGTCCTATTGCCACATCAGTTTTGAAACTGGAATATTTTAACACTGAAGGGTAACTGTTAGACATGGGCATGGAATCACTGGTTCAGTGGTTCATGGTGGTTCAGCCAGTTCTCTTCGTCTAGTTCCCTGCAGAAAGTGCCTACCCAGAAGCAGTGCTTGGAGGAGACATGGCAAGGAAGCTGCTTCTGAGGAGGTGCCTGCGGCAAGGGTTGTGGGGTACTGAATAGCGGAACACCTGTGCGGTTGTTGACTGAACTGGTGTGAACCACCAAACCAGTGATTCGTGCCCATCTCTAGTAACTATAGTACACAGGAAGTCTACATTTCTAAATTTCAACTCAAAATGTGAGCTAAACAACATTCTTCGCAAGTCTTATCTTCAGTATCTTGCAGGCAACACTAGTAATATACCTATCATCATATCAACATATAATTATCATAATCAAACATGGAGGAGCAATGGTAATTCTGTACTTTTTACACACAACTAATTTTCTACTGTACTGACTGTTTCGATTGTCAATGAATTATTATTGTATGAATTTATACTGAAAATACAAATATGTAATAGGGAAGAAGAAGCTGCAGACTTCAAGCTGTTCAGGTTTTAGGTTTCATCTTGAATATGTTTCCTGGTTTTGCTGAGTAAAAGAAAGGCCCAGACTCCCAAAAACCCTGAACCTTCATTTTGAAAATACAAGACCCCCCTCTCTTTCCATGTTGTACAAATAATATGACATTCTTTTTTTCCTCTCTGTGTTATTCTGCACTCGTTCACATCTGCCTTCTTCCCTACCTTGTTGGAAAAGTCAGCCCTGTCTCTTGGGTAGGGACCATAAATTACAATAACATGTGATAGATTTCTGGTTAGAATTTTGTTATCGCATCTTAGATATAAGGTTGTTATTCAAGGTACCTGAATGAAAGCCGAACAGGTGGCTTCAAGCTAGGCTAACAAGCTGGGTCCCTGCATTTCAGTGGGGCCAGAAAATTTTGTACTGTTCCTACTGGTGAGTGAGAGTGGAATGCCTCTTGGAAAATAGGTTTGGCAGGCTCATCATAAACTAGAGAGTATGATAATATTGTAAAAGAATTGTTTTAAACTGCTTGCTATCTTATGTCATCCATAAGTGTGCATAAGGAAATGAAATTAAGTAGCCTGCAGTCTATTAACATGAGAAGGATCTGCAGGGAGGAGGCAAAAAAAGGCTTAAATAAGGACTGCTACAGAGGATAATATTTGATAATCAGATAACTCTCTGTCTTCTGTTTTGGCTGCCAAAGGCATTACGAGATCGTTATCCAGTGGGACCAATTATGCTGCTAACTTTTATGTAAAAGTTCATTTGGATCAACACTCCTACTTTGCTGGAGTCCCCCCCACCAACATCGAATTAGTCATAAATGCAGTACTCTCCCACTGAGAATGCAAATGAGAGTGTTCTTGGTAGCTGCTCCAAGGCTCTGGAACTCCTTGTCAAGAGTGACTAGGCTACTGCTTTCTTCCAGCAGGCAGAAAATATAGTACAGTACTTTGTTCAGGCATACATTTGACATTTCACCTAGTTTGGTGCCATTATTTGGATATGCTTGAAACTGCATTTGTATATAAGTGCTGTTGAATAGAGTGGATCTTACTTTTGAGTAAACATACATAGAGTTGCTTTACAAGTAGTCTATATGGATAATCAACCGTATTTTTCACACCATAAGACACACTTTTTCCCCACAAAACAGGAGCGAAGAAAACAGATTATATTTTCCTGTTTTCTTCTCCTAAAAAAATTGGTGCGTCTTATGGAAAGGTGCGTCTTATGCAGCGAAAAATACGGTATATATTTATGAATAATTTAACTGAAGCACAATCCCATGCATGTCTATTCAGAAATTAATTGTACACAAAATGCATACATGTACCTATACGTGTGATACAGTTGTGTTCCAGTGCACAGAGGATGCAACATAAATTATACGTGGTCACAGACTGTGGCCTGAAATGTTATTTCCATCTCATCTGTTCATACCTGCAGCCAGTGGAGACCCTAACTGGTTCTTTCTCTCTTCGCTTCTTGCCCTTATTAGAACTCCTTTTCAAGTGAACCCTATAATATTAAAGGAAGCAGCATCAAAAAAGTAATAAGCTGTTGTTTTTTTAAAAAGGATATTTTGTTAATGAGGAACCAACACTTCAAAATGCTTACCCAAGGTCTATAGATGTTTGTTTTATAGTTCTTATATGCCCCAGAGAAGGGCTGCATGCTCTTGGTGAATGGACACCTGTGGCACCATCTAGGACATATTTGCACATGAAAAAATACAGGTCGTTATAATGATTTGTATTTTATCATTAAACCACACAATTGTGAATCACTTCTTACAAATTAAATAAAGTGTTCCTTATCCAAAGCAATATATAGTGTATAAATAGAGGATGTAAACAAAAAGACCTCTGCTGTGATTGGAAAAGTTGCACTTGCACACACACAGAAGAGACCAACACTCCTGTGAAATCTGAAATTTGAGAAACTGAGATCCAAGCAACTTGTTAAATTGCTCTTTTGGCATTAAAAGCTGCTATTGTAAACTTGCCCAAGGATGCCCTACCTGTGCAGGGGAATCTTAAAGCCCTAAAAGTTATGCAATTTGTAGGCCACAGCCAGTATGCTTTATCTACTGCATGTAACCCAAAGGCAAAAAACAAATAAATAGAAAAGCTGTAAAGAGTATGCTTTAAAATAACACTGTGATTGCAAAGGGAGAAATTACACATTTTAAATAATGTATGGAAGTAACCCAGTGGCCACTGTTATTAGCAGCCTTGCAGATATCATGGCAGCATTGCAGGAACAGTATTGTAGCTGAAAGTCTTGTTCTGTCTTCTTTTGGAGCAAGGAGAATTTTCTTTGTATTAAAACCTTCAGCTCCAAAGAAGGAACTGTCCAGAGTTCTGCCTTCTGATATGACAACCCCAAACATTCTTTACATTTGTCCTAACAGAAGGCATGGGGATGGGCAAGGGGGTTATCCATCTTTCTTCACACCAGTTTGCTCACTCACCTGCATGGAATTCCTTGTCATCCATGGTAACCAGGTAAGTTGTTCGAACATAAGGCTCATTTATGTCCTCCACTAGACTGATTTTAATGTGCCAAATGCCATTATCTGATCAGGGATACAGAATTCAGCTTGAGCTTATTTTTAATTTATATATTCCAGAAAATTCTGAAGAAGTCTGTCTGAGTTTGAACAGATGTTGCCATGGTATCTGCAAGGCTGCTAATAATGGTAGCCACTATGTTTCTTCCAAACGCCATCCATAAATTATTTAAACTGTGTACCTTCTCAAAAGGATCATGGTTCCCTTTGCAATCACATTTCGAGACATCTGTTTTGGACAACAGCCCATACATTGCAAAAGTTTTAGGTTCATCCCAAACACTTGCATAATGGCAGTTTAGGTAACAATAAAGACTCAGGAATATTGTACGGCTGTTCTGCTTGCTGGTTTGAGTAAAAGTTACTCTTGTATTCTTGAAGCCATGACATTTCAACATTCCTATTTTAACCATTCATTTTGTTAAGGGAAAGTAATTTGACAGGTGTCTGTTTGACAGACTACATTTTATAGCTGAGGTGATTTCTCAACCCAAAATTGCTCTTCTCACAGTGGACACATGGAAGCCCTGAAGAACAGCAAACGTGGGGGAAAGGAGCAGTGTCTTTACCCCTGCATCTGGCTCCAGGTGTTTGCACACTTCTGCATGCATGTGGTTACAGGCACATGTTTTATAAAGCTCTGTTGTACATGCACTTGATGTGGCTTTGTCTGTTTGTGTGAGATGTGCTTTTGCGTTTGTGAGTAATGAATTGTTGGCTGACTCATATGATTGCCTGTATTTGTACAGAGAATGGTAGACATGTAATATGTTGCTATGACTGCTGCTTGCACGTGACATACTATTGTGTGTCTGTGCATCATTGTACAGTATATGGATAGCTTATACTATTTTTACAAAAGTGTTACCTCAGCAGTGACTGAAAGGGAACTGAGGATAAGCTACAGGGTGGGGAGCATGTGCTGTGGAAAGGGTGTGATTTATTGGATTTTTAGGCTCTAGAATGTTATGGAGATATTTGCACAGGTACAGAAGGAACCTATTGGTGTGCATCACAGAGACCTCAAAGAGGAGCTGGTCATTTATGCATTTTTAGATTCAGGTAAAGGTAAAGGTAACGGTTGCCCTTGACATTTAGTCCAGTCGTGTCCGACTCTAGGGCGTGGTGCTCAACTCTGTTTCCAAGCCATAGAGCGAGTGTTTTTGTCCGAAGACAGTTTCCGTGGTCACGTGGCCAGCACGACTAGACACGGAATGCCGTTACCTTCCCACCAAGGTAAGGTAAAGGTAAAGGTTCCCCTTGACAATTTTTGTCCAGTCGTGTCCGACTCTAGGGGGCGGTGCTCATCCCCGTTTCCAAGCCATAGAGCCAGCGTTTTGTCCGAAGACAATCTTCCGTGGTCACATGGCCAGTGCGACTTAGACACAGAACGCTGTTACCTTCCCACCGAGGTGGTCCCTATTTATCTACTTGCATTTGCATGCTTTCGAACCGCTAGGTTGGCGAGAGCTGGGACAAGCGACGGGTGCTCACTCCGTTGCGTGGATTCGATCTTATGACTGCTTGGTCTTCTGGCCCTGCAGCACAGGCTTCTGCAGTTTAGCCTGCAGCACCACCGAGGTGGTACCTATTTATCTACTCGCACTTACATGCTTTCGAACTGCTAGGTTGGCAGGAGCTGGGACAAGTGACAGGAGCTCACTCCATCATGTGGATTCGATCTTACGACAGCTTGGTTAAGCTATTTCTCAAAATTGTGCCGACTTGCCCCCTCACTCCATGAAATATTACAATTAAAACCTTTCCTAGCAGTCTATCATCATTTTTTGATCCAAGGCTCTGGAGGACCCAAGAAGACGTACCACAAACCACCAAATCATCTAGATGCCATAAAGAAGTACAGTCAGAACAATGCTGATCCTGCTACTTGACTCTCAAAAGAGACAGAATACTTCAGGCAGCAGACGTTCATATCTTCTTTTCATACCTGGTGTGGATTCTCACCTACATAGTCTGTTTGTTATCCATCATGGAATAATGAATCAATAGCAAGACTGGATGTATATATGGAGTTTAATCCTTCCCAAAGTTGCATCTAACATATGTTCTGGGAAGTGGTATCATACTGCTACATTACTGCACAAAAGCTATGTCTCATGTGGCCAGAGGCTGCAGTTCAACACATGCAGAGGGCACTAAGGTTGCTCAACACACTCTGAATTTAAATTTTATAGAGCTGTGGAGAATTACTTCATAGTGGATGTCATCCAGGTCCTTGAGCAGTGCTGGCATCAATAATGGACTGGACAAAGACTATTAAGTTAAAGCTGAATTCTGACGAGACAGGGATCCTATTGTTGTTATTGCATTTTCTTGATCAGTTAGTATGAAATTTGCATAGTCTTGATGGGGTTAACACTCCCACTAACAAACCAGGTTTGCAATTTGAAAGCAATTCTTCATTGTTTTATCATACTAACTATTTGATTCTGTATTTTATGTGAACTGCCCAGAGTAGTGCTTTGGCACTAACGGGTGTGGCATATTAAAATGAAACAAACAAACAATCTTGGATCCAACACTTTCAATGGAACAACAAATTTCTGCTGTAACCATGAACACCTTTCTCCAATTTAGGCGGATTGCTCAATTGTGTCTCTATCTGAACAGGAGATCGCAGACAACATTTGTCCATGAACTGGAAATCTCAAGAATGTTCTCTATGTGGGGCTACCCTTGCAAATGGTATAGAAACGCCAGCAGGTCCAGAATGCGGCAGCCGGGCTGATTTCTGGCACAAATAAATTTGGCCATATCTCCCCAATCCTGGCTTGTTTGCACTGGCTCCCTGTTAGTTTCTGTGCCAGATTTAAGGTGCTGTTTTGACATACAAAGCTCTTAACAGTTTGGGACCTCAATACCTGTTGGAGTGTCTTTCTCAAAGAACAGCTACTTGTTTCACCTGATCCTCTTAGGTCTCGCAGCTAAGGATGGCTACACTGAGAGAGGTGAAAAGAATGACTACAGTACTAGGAAGTAAGCCTTCTAACTCGTATCCCTGTCCCTGTGGAATAGGTTTCCACTGGAGGTATGCCAGGCCCTCTTCTCCAAACATTCAGGAAAATGGTGAAGGCGGAGCTGCATAGAGAGGCTTTTAACAATGTACTCCTCTGAGGTTTATTCATGATCTGCAATTAATGTGCTATATCACATGTCACCATTTGGTTTTGATTGTTTCTTGTGGGGTAGGGGTTGAGGGATTAATGGGATTTATATTTTTACATTTCTTGTGTATTCATTAACTCAGGTGATATAGAAATCTCATAAAAATGAATGAATACTAGATAGATAGATAGATAGATAGATAGATAGATAGATAGATAGATAGATAGATAGATCGATCGATCGATCGATCGATCGATCGATCGATAGATAGATAGATAGATAGATATTTGACATGAAGACAAATTGTGGGTTTTTATATGGATGTAAGCTCCAACAGACAGCATCCGAAGGAACTATTAATTTGGATTGTTTCCATATATAGCATCCCACATATACCTATTGCACAAAAAAACTAAAAAAAATATCCTGAAACGTATGTTAATTCTTTCCTTTTTATTCCTACTGTCTCTGAGTAAGCAGAGGGACAAGTATACACTGGTGTACACAGGAGTGCCTGCTCATCTCTGAATGGGGTTCAAAGCCCCTTTCCCCTGGGGGCTGCTTTCTATGCCATCCAACAAGCCACCCTTGTAAATTGGAGAAGTCTCAAAAATGCTCTCTGAAGCACACTGAGAAGCTGCTATGATAAAAACACAGGAGTGAAAAACTTGCTGGGCATGCATGCCTTTGTACATATTGAAAAGGTCTCTTTGGAGCATGGCCAGAAGATATATTCAGGCTGTAACAAATGTAGTGCTATTTTTATAACGCACTTTGAACCGTCCCATTGGGTGGGAATGCAGCAACTGTGTTAAAACACCAAGGACAAGTCTGCCTTGTTAACAAGCACAAACAACTGTATATACCAAGAAAATCTTAGCAAAAAGGTACTTTGAAACAATGGCTGAGATTCAGCAAAGACACACACACACACAGAGAGGGAGGAGTGAGGGAGGGAGGGAGAGAGTCACATACCTAAAAAGGTACAAGGTTCCTAAACTTGTTCTCTTCTATTTTTATTTTATTTTTGAGGTGAATATGAAGGTGACTACTATGACACTGGGCAGAATAGAAAAATACTGTAGTGCTCAGGCACAACAAACAATGCTTCTCTTCAGAACTCAGCCTTTCCTATAATTCTCAACCTAAGTAATTCTGATTTACTGCACTAGCAAAATACAGTAATTGGAAAGTATTCCGCTAAAATATTTGTTGAAGTACTTACCAAAACGAGATAACGTCTTTTGATTCTGCCCAAAATTCTTTTAAAAATATGTACACACAAATCTATTTTTGTTGAATAGTTGAAAAGATCAGCTGCATTCCATATCAGAAATACAGCAACAGATGCTACTGAACAGCTCAGCCATAAAGGCTTTCACACTAGTATCTTGTGGGCTTCACTCTAATACCTAGTTCAGGATGTACCACATGACTTTTGTTCCAGAACTGGCTGTACTGGCAAGCAAGCCATGCTAACTAAGAGCAAAGGGGCAGTATGCTAGGCTACTTGCCTTTATTGCGGTTGAAGGTAATGAGCAGAATGTTTTCCCCTACCTTACCTATTTTACTTGGACTGTTTCCATACATAGTTTCCCATCTCTGTTTTCACGTGAGTAACAAAATACAGTATGGAAATTCTGGGTAATGGCAACCTGACTTCCAGGTTACCACCTCAGAGAATTGGCTAGTCTAGTGCTTTGATGAGAAATAGTCTAGTATCAAAGTGCTCTTATTCCAATATTGTGGAATAAGACGTTATTTTCTTTTTCTTCTTCTTTTCTTTCTTTCTTTTTTTGCATCATAGCTTCCAGAATCTCCAGTCAGCATGGCCACTAATCATGTTGGTTAGGGAAATATGGGAGTTATAGTCCAGAAAGCATGCCATACTCCTGAAAAAGATCAGAATGCTTTTGTGTCTATCATTTACAGTACATATGTATGGATGCTACTTTGCATCTACATATGAAAGATGTCAGAGAAATCAGCCTTTGTAATATGTATCTAAGTTTGGTTTCGCGTATTCTTAAAATGAGTAAGGAAGGAAACCTTGTTAATGGTCAATTGTGTTTTCAAGCATATTTGTGCCCTTAGGTGAAAATCTTTCATAAAAGAACATATATACTTAAAATGTCTATGTTGAAGGACCTTTCCTCACTTTGGTTGTAATGTGTTTATTGAAATTTGCTTTTATATAAAAACTTAGTATGAAAAGCATAGGATTCTCCACTGACTGAACAGTGGTCATTCCTTGAGTGTGGTCACTGAGAGTGACTGTATTTACTTTATATTTATTCAGGAACAAACAGGATGATAAATACAAAGGAGTAGTAGTTACTGTATGCCCAACCATATACTTTTACCATGATCCTCAAACCTCAGCACAGTGAGGATTAGAACTGACTCTCTCAATTCTGCATGTGGGTAAAGTCAGGACTAACCAGCCTTTATCCTGGAATGTTGGTTCACGTATAGCAGATTTAAGTGTTTCTGTATATGCTTTATATTGTTAGAGCATTAAAGATTGTGCTTTGGGAACTATCTATGCTAAAGCATTTGACTGAGCTATATTTCCTATACAGTGAAAACATATGAGATGCAACAATACTGTAGTTGACTGATGTCTTTACCTTTGGATTACTATATGCAGTAATGAAATCTTCTCCAAAATACCTGTAACAATTTAACACAAGCACTGGGTTCCTTCTCACAGAATTTGAATTCCTAATGTTTTATATAAGACCTTTATCCAAGTTTAAGAACAAGCTTTGAGGAAGTTCTCCACAGAATAAATCTTGGGTCCTTTACTTAAGGCAATGATTATATTCCTGGAATATTAACTCACAATTTTCCAATCTGAAAATAATTTAAACATTCAAATTGCTTTCTCTAATACTGTTGCTATCTTGTTTAATAGGCTCTATGAAAGAAACGTCTAAAAAAATTATTTCTGGAAACGAGGCGCGTAGAGTGATAAAGAAAGGAAGAAGAGAAATAATATTCTCCAATTCTGGAAGCACACAAAATGTTCTGCACTGACCTGTAAGCAGATAGCTGCTCATTAGAAATGGCACACCAACTAATGGCATGCATTGAGAAAATGGAAATAGCAACATGCGCATCAATGTTTGTACCTTCATGATGGAAGATATTCCTGGTGGCTGGATGATGCACGGGTGATGCTTCGTAGCTCTGACAGGACTTTGAAGGTGAGGAAAGTGGACTACTTCCATGAGAACACAAGAAATTCACATCCTGTTCTTCTTCATCCCGGTTTCCGTTTCTTTTGTCAAATGCGAATGTTGCGCTGCTAGCCACGGGGGAAAGGGAGGAAGCACCAGAATCTGATGCTGGTGAGGATGTTCTTATGCATATGGGCAGAGGTGATTTGGTAATGTGCATGGGGCTACCATAACTGTACGATGGCTGTTGATATAAAAGATTATGAAGAAGATTATGGCATATAGGAATCCATTACAGCAAGGTACCTGGAACACCCATTTCCTCCCTTTTAACACCTGTCCTTCATCCTGTGTCTGTTTCCGGAGGACTGTTCCAATTCATTTCAAATCAATGTCTAGCATATCCGTGTTTCCGTTTTAACAACTGCAGGATTTGCATTTCAAGCCCTTAAAATCTCAACAAATTAGCTTTTAAGCACTATTTAGCTTTGTTTGGATGAAAGAGTTAAATGAGCGGTGGGGAGAAAAATGTATTGACCTTCAACACGTACAAAACTGAATCGGAAGTCTCAAGATTGCTGCAAGAAAACAGATGGTTTACCTCCATAGAGAAAAGACTTGAACATTTCTTCATTATAAAAGTGCCATCACAAATATAACCTGCACTAAAATAAAACCATGCAGAAGCAAGAAAGGTCTGGACAGAAGTAACAACTAACAGGAAGTCAACAAAGAAGAAAAACAAGTCACCTTTCTTTCAAGGCTGTCCTCTCCATCTGTGGAGCTGATGCTATCATAGAGTCTTGTTCTAGTTGGTCTTGACCTTTTGTTCTTCACTGAAAGCTGCACACGTGTCTTCAGTGCTTTAGAATCCAGCCTTTCTGTCTCTGGTACTGCTTCATTAAAATCTTTAAGGAGACAAAGAATGCAAACTCACTGGATGTGTTTAATTGTTCCAGCATTTATGTATGTGGTACCCATTTAATGGATGCATCCCATATACATGAAACACATGCAAACCTTATTTAAAAGCAAGATTATTACTGTTTCATGCACTTATTTGACTGAGTGTATCAATTCTTTAAAAAACATCCAGTTTTGAATGTGGGAAACTGTGTTTCTGTATCCACTGTTCAGAATACAAGGAAATGGCCTGGTATTGCTGCACAATATCATTCCTGTGTTGCCAGCAGGAAAAAGGACACAAATTTTACATAGCAAAGAGCAGTGTGAACATTGACAACACCCATGTCAGCGGTCAAGATGTTCTACAACAGTGGTTCCCAACTTTGGCTAACCCAGACATTCTTGGACTGCAACTCCCAGAAACCCTGGCCAATATCAATAGTGGTGAAGGCTTCTGAGAATTCCCAGAACATCTGGGTTATCCAAGGTTGGGAACGACTGATCTACAGGATACTACCATTCATGATGAGACACCAAGAGGAGGAAAATCCTAGAACCTGACTCCCTTTTTCATTAGTTAACCACTTTTCACCCAAACACAAAGCAACCCTCAGGGCCGTTTTTCAACAAGTTCTCTAGGTATCACACTTTTGTACAGTAATAATGAATAGCTTGTACACTATTACTGCAAACCTTTAAGCAACTGAATGGAAATTGGAACCATATGAGATGATGCAGAAGCCTCAGGACTATCTGTGTTAAGGTAAAGAAGAAACAATCATTTAAAAAGTACTGTATCTGTATTGACCTAGGTTGACTTTGTTCAGCCACTGAATGGGGAAACTTTAGATAAACTACCTTGCAGTTCAACTTTGCTGAGTGTAAAATATTTTAAAATAGAAGTCAGTACTAAGACATCTTCACCAGTCAGGTTTACTATCCATCTACAGTAATTACCTGTCTTCAGAACTTGGCAATTTAGTATGTAGTCAAGGATGGTAAGTCAAAACTTATCTTAATAAGTCCTCAAACTTAGGATAAATATTATGTTATATGCTATGAAGTTGCATCTCAAGTATGGCAACTCTAATTAGGTTTTCAGGATATTGAAGATATTTAAGGAGTGGTTTACCACTGCCAATCTCCAACAAGTTTTCCTGGTCCAGTGGGATTTGAACCCGCATCTCCTGTGTCCTAATATGGTACTCTATCTGCTATACTATATTGGCAGCAGGTATTTAACTTGGTGCCAAATGAATGTCAGTATCAGCTGGCCTTCCAAGAATCAGTGGGGTTCTCCAGAGGTTTTGGCTTGCAATTTCCATCAGCTCCAGCTAGTATAATCAATGGATCAGTGTGATCTTGGGATATAATTCAAAACATTTGGAAAGCATTGTGGTGGGGAAGATTGGTTATGGCAATTCAGTTTTGGTTAGGATTTGACTCCTCAGGTTTTAGTAACACATGGATCTATAAGAACATATTTTATCCCAAACCTAACTTTCATGGCTTTGTTCTTTGATGTTTTCTTCACTTTAGCTCTAGCCAGCAATACCACCAAATATCCATATAGTGAGGTGAAGATAGTCTTTTTGCAAGCAATGGGATGGGAGCGCCATGACTTCTAATTTATTTTTTCTAGTAGTAGTGTGGAATAAACGCGAAAAGAGCAAGAGCACAGACTCTGAGCAGAAGCAAAGATAACACTCCAGAGAGAAAGGCAGTTTAAAAACCAGAAAGGTAATCAAACTGACAAGGTCAAATGAGAGATGAAGTTGCCGACATATTCCACAGTACTGTCATGAGAATCATCAAGCATAGGCATCTCTGTGATATTAGAGCCCCGTGGCGCAGTGGTTAAAACGCTGTTCTGCAGCTAAAACTGTGCTCACGACCTGGGGTTCAAATCCCAGGTAGCCGGCTCAAGGTTGACTCAGCCTTCCATCCTTCCGAGGTCGGTAAAATGAGTACCCAGCTTGCTGGGGGGGGGGCAATGTGTAGCCTGTATAATTAAATTGTAAACCGCCCGGAGAGTGCTTGTAGCGCTATGGGGCAGTATATAAGTCCAAAAATAAATAAATAAATAAATATTAGTTTACACCCTACCCTTGCAGTAAAACATGCACAACGGCCTTAACTGCGGAGACAAGAATCACAGTGCAACTTGGTTCACAGCCAAAGTAATCATGACATAATTCATGCTTTTAAATTAGGTAAAAAGTATGGAGGCCATGTCTGTGTGTGACTGGTGGTTCTGCTAGTCTTTTGCCTCCTCCTTGCTGCACTCCTGAATTTGAATAAGGACAGGTGGTGGTGGGGATGCCATGTGTTATTAGCACCCAAGGGAAATGCCCCTTTTACATCAGAGGGAGCTTTCCTTTCAATAGAAGGCCCAGTCTGTAGGGTTAAGTCCTCCCCCCCCCCGCCTTTCCCATCATGGCTGACATGTGAGTCACTGTGCTTGATGTTGTCGTTATGTGCCATCAAGTCGCCTCCAGTGTATGGTGACCCTATGAAATCATTCACACAACTGTGTAAATGAGGGCTATTTCATTTAGGCTTATGCAGTTCAAAGGACTGAGAAAAGCAAACAGCGGATGAGTCAGTGATGGCTGCACAGGGTGAAAGCACAACTGGGAAGGCTCATACACAGGGTAATCTGTGTGTGTTAGGATGTCCCTCTGTAGCGGGCAAGGAAGTATAAGAAGGCTCAAGGTCTGAGACCATCTGTCTTGTCCAGAGCACTAGTGCCAGAAGGAAAGGTGGAAGTGGAATGACCTGAAAAATCAATCTGTGTGTCATCTGTTCATTGCAGTCTTTACAAGAAGGAGAAACTACACTGTTAGCAGGGACAAGAAGAGGAGACAACCAAACCAGAAGGGCTGCCCATTGTCAGTTTAGGAAAAGACTACAACAAATGACTGTCATATTAAGACAGGACACTAGTTTTAAACAGACTTAACAGTGATTCTCTTTCTCCAAGAAGCTCTCAGAGCTGCATTTAGGAGAGTGGCTTGAAATCTCTTGATGAACTTCTCAACTAAAACTCCCAGGATTCTTTCTGAGAATCCATTACGGTCAGCCTCAGTGTCAGAGCCAATCTAGACAAAAAGTTAAGGGCATGGTTGCAAACAGAAGGTGAGGAGGGAAGGCAATATGGTTGGGGATTTGGACAGTGCCAAGAAAGGGAATAGTCTCATACTCTGTGGTCCTGTTGCAGATGAAATCTCCCCTCACCCCATGGAAAACATGACCTTTAGGAGAAGCAAAAAAGGTGTATCCCTTCACATATGGGAGTCCTGATCCTGATCAAAGCCCACCACCCTCAGGGCTGCAATTTCAATTTTGTAAACAGGAGATGATAATCACAGTCCAGCAATTAATCTCTTGCCTAGCTGGGCCTTTAGTTTATCATGTAAATATGTTCTATAAAAAATTGTCATAGCTAGGCTCATGTAGCTGGTTTGCTTTTTGCTCATTCAAAACCTTGATTTCTTAGATGAAGCTGGGGTAAATAAAGCAAACTGCGGGAGGTGGGAAGGCAGGTCACCACTGCATAAATATGGTCTTGATGAAGTCAAATGCAGCTTTTGCCATGGACTGCACACACTGAATCAGTTACATACCCTTTTGTCACCATGGTTACCTAAGTCCAAAAGATCTTCATGAGGTGTTTGAAACAATAATAGCCTTAATGCCTCACAAAGAGTACTTAGTGAGGATTTCAGTTTAAAAAGGGAGGGGGGAGCATTAAATCCTGAAGACAATTATATTGGAACAATTATTTATAGTCAAAGAGGATTTAAGAACAAATGCAGTAAGTTAGGTTGATATTAGCTTATTTTGCCAAGCGCATATTAGATTAGTAAAGAACATGGAGGCCTGCAAAACAAAGCAGGAAGGAGAAGAGGTGCAAGCAACAATATACTGGCTGAAATCCAGCAAGGACTCACAGCTAGACTAGGCCCATTGAGTCAATGGAATTCACATGGATGTTGACTCACTAAATTCCCACTGATTTAATGGGTCTAGCTGTAAATTACTACTGAATTTTAGCCTGGTGGGGTGGTATGTTTGCAAGTCCTGTCCACACACCCAAAGGTCCTGCATGGAAATTGTCTCACTTCCTCTCCTCCTGGCTCATTGTTTCTTAAATGTTATCAAGTTGAAGAAACAGTTTGGGGAATGTGCATGTACAGCAATCTGAAGGCAACTGCACTCACAGCATAACGTGTGCATGTACACATGCACATCCCCTTTGCCTTTAAGTGCTTTAACACCAAGTCCAAAAAAAACCTTTTCAAGCATATAAGAATTTAGAGAAAATGTGGAGAGTTCAGAGAAGCAGCATCAAAACTAAAACGCAAAGGGAAGTCGTGTAAGAACTTGGGCAATTAGCTTCTTTTAGCTGTAATCTAAATTAATTCTCTGCTCCCACCTTCATTCAGAGATACTGATATCTGAAAAGTACTTTAAATAATATATTTAAATATCATTTATTATTTAAATATTTATCTAAATATTTTAAATAAATAAAATAAATAATACTTTCCACCTAACACAAAAACTGACATGTGCTGAACAGAAATGATGAAGTTTTATAACTAACTTGTAAAATAAATAGTAATGTGGCAATCATGCCTGCTTTCAGAAGGTAAGAGAAAAATTAAGGTACAAAAATAAAAAACTAGGCCTGTTTTTCAATATTCTGCCTCTTTCTGCCTACCACTACTTCTCCACTTTCCTTTTCTTTACCTCTACCACATTGCTTCTGACATTCTAAAAGTATATTTGTGCCTGTAGAACATTAAAGAATTTAAATAGCTGCTTTATGAAACAAACATAGCAGTGCTTTGAAACCAGCAGATTAAGAATAAAAGATAATTTTGAACACAGCATGCATGCTGCCTCACTAGCCTTAAAATGGCACTACAGCAAGGGGAAATGCCAATGGTTTTGATATAATAGGAATTTAGAGGCCAAAATGAAATGGCATTAAGGC